CTGTGTACACCTGACACATCGGTATACTTTGATGGGAGTGTTTTCACAAACTCAAGCGTATTTCTACCACGAATGCCCTCGCCCACTACAAGCGATCAAACATCTAGATTGTGTTGGGTGTGTGTATTGCCGAACCGAAACTTCTAAGCTCTTTGCAATATCAGGAGGATAGGTTTCTGATTTGCATGCAACCTGCCAGTCCTGGTCAAGACTTGGTCAGTACCGAATTTTCCGACCACAGTACGGAGCGTTGAAAAATGACTTCACCTAAAGGTTTTCTTAAGCGCTGTGCCTGAGTGATCAGACCAAGAAACCTTCAGGAATCACGTGAGCGATTTTAGGATCAAGTGATGTCCACTTGTTACGAACGAGTTATACCCAAAACGCTGACAAAGATTCTGCAGATATACTTCACGGACTTTCATATCGTTCCTCCATGTTAGAGCTATCCATACTTACGATAAGGCTTAAGGCGTCTGATTCATCACATAACCACATTAAACCACTCAAATATAGTCGGTTCTACTTCTTCTGACCCCATTGATCATTGTGATCCCATCTTTGGGGATTCCGACAAAAAGATCTCTTGGGGCTAATACGGTTGAGTGAGTTTTTTATATCTTACACATCCGATCAGCTATTCCGTGAACGTGATTGCTGTGAGCGTGAATGACAATCTCGAGCTGGCTAAGTAACCATTTATTTTGTTTTTTTGGCAATATGATTTATTGCTGCTTAATTTGATGGGAAGCCACCAGTGATCATGAGAACAGATTACTTAAAGTGCCACGATTACCTATTTTTCGGTTAATTAAAACGAATAACTTCGGTCGGTGGTACGACGGTAGTGATTTGAACGTAATCGAGCAACATGATGGAGAGGCTACTCAAAGGGAGCTTCGTAACTCGATCAGAACCAAGTTACTTTCACACGGTTCTGATGAGGTATAGTGAATGCCTTCGTCACATTTTGATCAAACTAACAGAGTACGACATCCGACGAGCGGTCTGTGGATTAGGCTATTGATCTTCAGCGACAACTCAAAAATACTGTTAGAGGTAGAAAAGTCAAACTCGTCAAAGCAAATTATGAAAAAAAACGCAACTTCACAAATACTTTACTGTGAACACCTCGATACCGATCTGTGCACTGTGCTTCAGAAATACTAGTCGTACCTCGTTACACTCTGAAATATTTGTATAATCGTTCATAGATGACCAGTACTGTTCGTAATTATCTTTCGTATAGGATGCAAATTGACCTTCCACGATACAGAAGGTAGCATTGCAGCTGCATAAGAAACCCCTTTTGATGGCCAAGCACGCCCTATTTTCAGTAGTATATCAAATGTGAAGGTAGCATTAGATCAATAGAGAACCGTGTGCTCGCAAGAGATCCGCACTTAAACCCAGCGTCATGGTCACTTCCACAGATTAGCCTATAGTAAACCCCTTGTCTTCCTCCGGAAACCCATCTGTCGGTTAGGAACACACGTGGTGGAAAAAACCTACTGCTTTTCAAGTGCCTATGTTTGTGCGTATCAAAAGCGCGCAAAACCAAAGATTTTGTAGAAACACATCAGATGCTCGTGAAACTTTGCATCTTACTCCAGTTATCAGCTTCTTCACACAGAGGCTATCAGCTGATAGGTGTTTTGTGGCGTATTCTCAAAGGGCCTAAAATTGTCCGCTGAATGGTGTACGACAATGGACACTTCTTACATGACATCCTGAATCCTTCGCTGAAAATTTTATTCCTCAGAATCGACGGTATTCGGACCTATCACTCGTACTCACTTCACAGTTTACGCAAACCATATGAGCAGCTTTTAAATGTTCAAATGTGATTTTACGCCTACTTTTCCAGTTTTGCATCCAATTAGTTGTGATGTTTTTGTGAGATGGTGCTTAACACTAAGGACTTCAAATTTCATTTGTGTTCAACCCCGGTCGCTGTGAAGTACTTTCCCGAATTCTGAGGGGCAGTTAGACTAGGTACGACCCATTTCTAAATCACCTCAATTTTATGGAACTACTGACGCTTGTGAGTTGTACTCACACCAAAAACTGGGATAATAAATATTATACAGAAATTGGCAACTTTATTGATATCGAATGTAAGCCACAACCTCTTCATTGTCGAGCTAATATCGTCACAAAAATTATTCTCGCCTGATAAAATTGACAATGGATCGAAATCTATCTGCCCGTATTTTCAGTGAGCTAGCTATGTCAGGTAAGTTTATTAGGGAACCATGCAGCACTTATATCAACTCAGCAAATGACCTGCAATCGTTGGAGACGTTCACACTGCTTCCGTTCCAGGCTGATAAAACAATGGAACCGGACACAAGTCAACTAAGCAAATCAGTAGGGCGCAGTGCTTATGTTTCTGAGGGAATGGGCAGTTTTCATAACTCATCACTGTTCTCAGTGAATCCATTCCTCATTCCACTACAGTTCTGTGTTGACCTCGTTTCTTCTTGTATTTGCTTAGTGTGAGAAAAAGTTAAACGATGAGGTAACTGTGCGATACTAAATTATTTATTCAATACATGACACCAAGCCAACCTTACTGCACCATCCAAGTCATACGGAATGTCGAGTACCGTTTTCCGTTTTCACCTTGTTCAACGGGAATTTTGTTTCGTCGTTCCAGTCTTGTATCTATATTCTCTATTCTCGTCTCTAACTTGAATGCTGATCATTATTTGGCCTTTTTCCAACCTTATAGCAACTCCTTTGTTCCGACATTGCCGGCCTAGTTCATGACAGCTACGTGGAAGTCGTGATCTTGTGACCCGTTTGTCTTGATTCAATGTGAACTTTGGGTGGGCGTACCATTCCTTACCTACCTTAGTTGTACAGAATCCTGCTTGGAATCAATGTTCATCAACCCTGTTTATAGAAGCCACTATAACCCGGCAATTTGAAGTTTTTCTTACCTTATCATTTTATCACTGCATTATATGAGCCACATTTGTCGTTGTTCATCTGTATGATGCGAATTTTAAGGTTTCGGTTGGACTCACCTGATCGCTGGACATAATTAATAGAGGGCTCCAACGAACTACGGATTCCCAGAGTGACTTGGCCGGTCACAGGCAGCTTGATCAATCCACTTACCTGATGTCTGTTGCCACTGACTCCATCAATACGGTTTAGTTGACCATGAATTGATCAGTTAGGTGTGAACGCCATGAACGACCACACCGCTAACTAAACTGCTATTTAACATTTAAAAAAAACTTCGTTCTTGCCTGTACCTGTCTTCGCTGTTACCTTAGAGTAGCAGTTAGACACAAATTCAAGTAGAGTATGGAAATCATCAGCTGAGTGCTTTGCATAGTGAACAGGTACTAAACAGAGGTATCTTAGCCTCTTGGGATAATCGCACACTTCGTTTATCCGATAGCATAGGTTTCCTTGATTTTTCACCATGACCACCTTTACAACTAAGCACCATACTCTCGAACTCCTCCACCGTTTCCTACCAAACCTTCAAGTACAAAGCAAAGTTTATTAATTTTCCTGAAGTTGTCCGACTCATCGAACGACGACTGTCTGCCCTGGCTGTGACGATCGATTAACCCGCCAGTCAGGTAGCGTGGCACACGCTTGAAACCCACCGGAAGCTTTTTTGGTTGCAATTTTGGGGTTTTGCGGGATAGGCATTTCGTCCATAGTCACCGCACTCTCGTTTGAACGGTCCTGCTCCTGTTCTGGCGTAATTATTTCGGTGAGTCCACACCAAAGGGAAACACTGGACCGGAGTTTCGCTCTTAATAGAGCTCGTCAGCAGTTCATATCCAATAGCCGTGCCGGGATCTGAACCCCGGACATCCGACACGCGAGGCGAGCGTGTAACAACTACTCCACCAACGCACATTAGGCGCATCCGAATTTTCATGTCTGAACAGGCGAACGTGTTCACACCTGAGCGATGTGATTGGTATGCCCGACTCATCGAACAACGACCCAGTAAATGTCCTGGTTGTGAAGATCGATTGACCATGAACAAAATACCTACCCCGCAAAACCCCAAAATTGCAACCAAAAAAGCTTCCCAGTGGGTTCCAAGCGTGTGCCACGCTACCTAAGTGGGAAATCCTATCCTGTATTTCTGCAACGTAGTAAGCACTGATTCTCCGAAGAGCAGCAGCTTTTCTAAATACACCGGCATCTTTAGTGTAAATCACTCTGAAGTAAGGTCATCTCAGGATGAACCGAAAGCCCTGTTCCCTATGGCATCCTTTCTTAAGTGGACTCCCTCATTGAGGATAGCACCACTAAATTCTGGGATGGCGACTCTATAATCTACTTGATTCCCTGTTGAATGTGTCAGTAATGGCATATAGACACACTCGTGGTAACAGCAGTCTTTATACACAGATCTCTGTACAGCTTCCAAATAGACAAGGTAAAAACCATCAAATAGGTGAAACGAAACGGATCAACGATAGTTTACGTCTTCAGCCAGACTAGTGGAAGCTGCTGTCGTTAAATTTGTATACACAATGTGTAGTTGGTGCTAGATTCATTGAATCCTATGAACGAGGTTGTCAGGTATCAAGCCTATCACCGCAGAATTTCATGTATTTAATAACTGCCCATGTGATCACTTCCGTCAGCCTTAGCTTTTTTTCCTACATGCAAAAGCCAACCGCGTCTATAAACGTCAGAGCTGTAACACCCATTCCGACTCCACAAACCACACCTAAACTCGCCTCGAAGCCCAGACAGTCACGTATTGTCATGCCTCAACGAACGGGCCGCGCTGCGCCGGAACCACGATAGCCACGATATCCACCACAGCCACAATAGCCGCGATAGGCAGACGCACCGCGGGTTACGCGAATGATGGAGGCCAGGGACGTTCCACCAATGAAAAAGCTGTTCACTCTCATGTGTGCACGCACACCAAGCCGAACATGAGTGCGCCTGTCACGTGCAACGATCGAATGACCAAACGGCCGTTGACCAACTGGAACAGGCCAGTGGTCTTCGTTGTGCCAGTAGCTCCGAGATTCACGCAGTCGAGGCTACCTGCTTGGCGCAGTGCGGACCGGACTAATCCAGTTGACAATGCTCTTACCACGACTCACTAGGATCCTGCGACTGCGTTGGACTGGTTTAGCTGGGCTGTGTAGACTTACTCAAACTGCTACTAGTCCGACGCTTGAGACCACGAAGGTTCACCCAGAATCACCTATTGGTAACTTTCAAAGCCGTCATATTGGACCTTCGGACCAGGATGCGGCAGACATGCTTAAATTTTGCGGATACCGAGTAAGTTGGCATTGGCAGAAATTATCTATGGCTGTGTAGTCATTGTACGAAATGCTATTAAGCGACTATTTCCTGAGTCGGGAAACAACAGCTGCTTTTAAACTGCGAACGTCTTCTAGATGTGCAAAATGGCGACCTCGTGCTGGTACCGGCGACGGCATAGGCCGCGTGGATACGAAGCAGTCCCATACCGTCTTCGACCGCAGCGAGCAATGTCTTTTGTTTCCATCCGTAAAAAGGTCGATCAACTGTAGCACCCTTTCAGTGCCCAACTGCCATGCCACCAGAAGGAAGCACGAGGGCTTCGATACTGCAGGTTGCCCAAGCCTAGACAGGTGAAATCGAGAGGCAGAGGTCGGATTTGAACAACGGACTTTCCCGTCAGTAAATTCGCACTCTAACCATTGAGCCATTCATCCGAGGCGACAACGTCACCCTGGACATGATATATGGGACAAGATTTGTTTTGCAACCTCGAGATTCTTTGTGCCTAACGGGTGCCCGTTGTGATTGGAGAACATGAGATAGGTGTAACAGAGTCGAGAAGACGCTTGCGGATCTCGTTATTTAGCACTCCCTACAAGTGTCGTACTTTCTGTCAAAGGCGTCAACAGTAAGAAAACCCATAGCTTCCAGCTATGTTTCGGTGGTGTACCACTGTGTTGAACTCCTAAAGGTTTTGAGCTACCTCTCACTTTCTTTTCACAATTCACGAGAAGCATACATGGCACTACTGATCCGACATTGAATTTCTTTCGTTTGTCTATTGGGTAAGATGGTTAAGCCAAGTATAATAACTTGTCCCATCTCCTCACCGGCTATGTTGGAGAGTCATGCGTACGCGTTAATACATGTGTAGGAAAATTAGGGTTTCGTTGTGCTGTCCCACAAATGTAGCACGTAAACCTAGGATGAAGTTCTTTCAAGTCGTTTCCCAGTAGGATGGTGCCACCAGTATGTTCCAATTCTGATATCCAGGTTGTCAATTTGTCGAAATATAGGTAGCTCGGGTGTGTTTACTGGAGGTTGATCGGATGGCAGTTGATCTGTTCGCCGAGCTTGGCTATTGGCTTGCAGACGTTTCGTCCCCAGTCGAGGAGACATCGTCAGTGCGCAGTTGAATGGGTTGAACGACCCATTGTTTAGGAAAAGTGTTGCAGTAGAAAAGATTACTTTCGAACAGTACGTCTTCTGTATCTAATTAGAACTGATAGAAGCCATAGACTGCAATTATTTTGGTCACAAGGCACTTGCTTGGATGACAACAAAACGCAGTATTTCACCCTTTTTGGTATTGTCACACGTCTACTTGCTGATCTGCAATGACCTGCCTTACTAAGGTCTCGAACGCTGTCCACTGATCTTTCTTCCTGACCAACAGATCTTCAGACTGATTGGGATTCCTAGCAACTAATCTCCTAGTCATAGCTTCTGGGATACGTTCATTCTGTCTCGCGGTGACTGAGTGGGTCAGCGTCTGGGCGCTTGAGGGGGGAATTGCTTCGTCTGCGGCGGGGTTTGAAGTTGGCGAGAAAGGACATCCCCAGTCGTCGGTCTTCCTTATACAACTTGTAATCTTTATTTATTGAGGAGCGATGTGTTTGTACCAAAATACAATCTATCTGTATGAGCATATGGCGGCCATTCGAGTGCCGTGCCAGCAAATTTTCCCTCCGGTGTTGAAAATGTGTACGATTACTCTGTGGGAACGGATGACCAATGCAAAATGGAGGCCCGAGCTGTGGTACGACCATTGAGGAGCATCTGTTCCAGACATTTGGATGAATATGGTATTGGAGTCAGGTAGGCATGTTTCGTCTGAATACACTGATTCTCTGACTGATGAGGGTTAACAATGGCTCGTTTCGGCTGAATATCCCTGCACTGAGGTTTCATAGTGATTTTCTAAGGGCTGTGTCCCCAAGGCTGCCCAGCTTTTGCATGTCCAACCGCAAGATATCAGGAACGGACAGAAACGGACTGGACAGCGGCACCTTCGTGGCAGTTGGATTCCTTAGGCAATTTCATTTACTTGGTTCACCAGAGCTGATTTTTGTCTTCGCGTCTGTTAGTTTGGAATTGGGATTTACCCAACTCTCTTACGAGGACATCCATTTGAGCTTCAGTCAGGACATTGCCCCCACGCTTCCACCTTAATACTAACGTACCCGCTGTCAGAAAGCACTAACTAGGACGTCCCCAGCAGAGACTGCGTAATATCAGGTCCTTCAATGGAATTTCTTGGAGTATGAAGAGTTATTCACGCGCTCCACTAAGGTACCCACTCTCGGCTGTACTGAGGCGTTTAGGGGGCCGCAGCGTATTGTCATGATAGTGTCATTCACTGTAACATTGCGGTTTCATTTTGACACGTCTGAATTTCCAAAAGCACTCTTCTCCTGTCTCCCGCTCATGCTTATATGGTTTTGCTGATGTCTACGTTTAGTCAACTACGCCTTAATTGATCACATGACTGATTGCACTTCGTATCTGCTTAGTAGGACTAATGAGTTCGCTAATGTACATGATCTGTCATCTCATCTGCAACAGTCATACTAGTTATATTCTGATTTTGTTCACTGGCTATACCTCAAGCTTGGCCAGTGTCAGCACCTCACTGGGCTAAAAAAATTTGATAACCGATGGGGAAAAGAGAGGAAGTTGACTCTCATCTATGAAACTATAGCCAAAACTGTTTACCATCTGGGTGGCGATTGTAGTACAGCCAACACGTACACTATTCACCATGCCGCTAAGCACGTATATACATACGTGTAGTTCGGTTGGAATTTCGTGCAGGAACTGGGGTTGAAGTTTTCAATGCGGTTTACATTATCTGGCCACACCAGATAACATACACCTGTGTTCCCTGATACATACGGAGACAGTTTCGGTATGTACCACAATCGTTCGTTCCAAGTCTCATCACTGTGTGCTTCACCACCGCCGTACCTAAGAGCACATAAGATTGGACGATTCAACAGAGTTTAAGCATGGATGCTCAGTCTCTATGGTTTTTCGGCAAGGGTACAGGCTTTCCACCAAAGTGAAAATGCATTCGTTGCTGCTGCGAGTATAGGTTAGCAAGATATCAATCCACTATTTCAATACCTGTTTTTGGCTTTACAGTGTATGCCTGATCGTTTGGCACAGTGAGCATGTGCTTTCACGTTTTGTTCCGCTTGGAATACCCCCCTAATTCGTGACAACCTCATTGAGATTATGTAGATTGACCAGTGTGACTGCATAGCCAATAATTGGTTTTCGATCCTACTGGCTTCCCACTCTCAAGCGAGTATCCTTTGCGTGCTAAGTTCGGAAAGAAAACATTTGAACCTCATTCCAGTGATTTATTTCTCATGATGAGCACCATTCAGCGGTGATGGGTAACAGAAGCGCCACCAATTTTCTCGCTGTCGAGATTATCATTTGTGCAGTCGTAGTTAGAATAGTACAGAATGTTTGGTGAACGACTGGCTTTTTGGCAGACTCTACACCTGATGCGCAACGAATTTAACATTGGGTAATTTGCTAACTGTGGACGCCAGGCTGTTGGGGACCGAAGAGTATCGCTCATTTGTTCTCGCATATACTATCTGCCTAATACCAAATAAAAGTAAATCAATTTATGGCACAAACAATGAAAACGAGCACAAGAAAACCACTTGGTCTTATTGAAGTAGCAGCGCGCGTATTCCTATAATGTTTGACCTTGGAATTCATCAGTTCTATTCTGAACGAGTGGCTAGGAAATTGTGGCGAACCTTGTAGTGGCGAACCTTGTAGATCGCTGTAATGTACTACTCATAAGGCTGCTGAAAATCCATCAGCAACCTCATGAGTAGTACATTACAAAGAGCTACATGTATCGCGATATCTCGAATATCGTAGCGAGTGAAACATGAGGCGGCCTGGTGCAGCACATTCAGTTGCCTGAGAACATCACAAACGATAGATTCAGCTGGGTTCCAGGTGAGTCTCTCGAAAAAAACAAATTAGTTTGCAAATGCGTGTATATTCGCTAATGTGGCGAACCTTGTTTGTTTGCATGGAATGGGTCCACATTCTAGTCCGCATTGACCCGGCCGTTTCCAGGATTTCAGGCGGGTGGTAAGCCGCTCCATACACAACTTAAAAAGTTGTCTTCCTGTCTACTCTGCAGCCTGTGTCGATCCGATGTTCTACAGTGCTGCTCTCGTATTCTTTTACCAGGCAAGCGTGTTGGCCATTGCTTGAGAACCACGGTGGCCATCTGACTGGTCACACCACTAACGCAGAAAGTGTCGCAAATACAACTGAAGGATTGAACGCCCGTGGATGAGATCAGCATAATTAGCTTGTTAGTCCTGTTCAGTAGAATCACTGAGTGAGCAATGTTGTGGAATGTAGGTAGCTCGGGTACGCTGTTTGGTTGTTGGTCTGTTCGCCGAGCTTGGCAGTTGGATTGCGAACGTTTCATCACCAATCGAGGTGACATCGTCAGTGGGACCCACTCAACCCTGCACTGACGATGTCACCTCGATTGGTGATGAAACGTTCGCAATCCAACTGCCAAGCTCGGCGAAAAGACCAACAACCAAATCACTGAGTGAATTTGGCAAACACATCTTACTAGCTACTGAATCGGCCAGACTTGTTAAACGTTGCATTTTCTTCGTTCGTTCTTTTTTAGAGCATGGACGAATTAATCTCCAAAGCGATTCCCGATGCTGTTCGTCTGAAAAGAGACTTGTGTCTGGAGGAACCGATGAGTGAGTGATTTTTTTTGGAAATGCTTTTTTACTAGGTAAGAATATGCTAAATGACCTGTCAACCAGGATTTTTTTTAACACTTGACCTTTCATTCTCAGTGGCCGTGGATAGTGTCTCTGGGTTCGTCATTAATCTCGGTACACCGTCTTTCGTCCACGCTTAAATAAGTGGCCCTCCGTGTTACTCCGAATAATGGGGCTTTGAAGCTAGATTGGCTGTGTTCTCCAATTCTCTGAAGTAAACACATTCTCCAAGGAATAGTTTAAGTCGGTTTGGTGGTTTTTTTTCACTGGCCCCTCTTCATGGAGGGTCAGAGAATGCAGATTCGTTCATTTTCTATGGTTCTATTGTTTCTAGTAGTAGTAGACTTTCACGGATTGGGCGGAGTGTGCGCTTGCCAATTTGGCATATCACGTGACTCTTTTAGTGTTGTATTAGCTCCACTTGGTCTCACTATATGACACGACTCCTCTTCTATAATTATCCTCCTGTATCGGTGCCGATGTTTGGCAGTATCCCAGCACGCTTACAACCGTGAACGTTACGACTAAAAGCGCGTCATGACCATCGGTCGTCATATGATTTTATCAGCCGTATCGCCTTACTTGCTGCATGCAACAGGGGGGGGGGGTAAGCGAACACCTTTTAACGCTTCCTCTCCATTACTCTCAAGTAATCCTTCTCTTCTATCGACCCCCAATGTGAATACGCTTTCTGCATATCCCGGCACTATAATTGACCGCGTCGTTTGCTTTAAATCACGTTTGGTTGCATCTTCTGTACGTCCACCCTCAGAAACTACGCCAACACCCCGAACTCAGCTTTTAAACTCCGGGATTCCGTGTACTTAGCTGCCTTTACTGTTCGCACACTGAAGCAAGCACGAACACAGACGGCTTTTGCTCGCACGCTGGACGGACCTATCCTGTTTTTTAGAAACAAAAATCCATGACTCAAGTATTGTAAATGCCCCTCACTCTCCCCAGGTCTCAGATGTGCATCTTTGGTGATGCGGAGGTTGCTGCAGGTGGATATGCCGAGGTGGGTACCATGTTGGGCGATCGAACAGAAGTGTGTTTACTTGATTGGTTACCCGTTGATAGTCACCTCTGAGCGGTAACACCTGTGAAAAAATCTCAGGAGGATGATGTCAATGGCCCAATCAACCCACCCAATTGAAGTTCACAACCATGTTTACCTATGCGGTAGCCCCTGGCATCACAATATCCCTAGTCGAGTGTCGGTATTGATTTGTGTTCTTCAATTACTAACATTGCCTGCCCGTTTCTGATCCTCTTTTTCGAAGTGTTTTGAAGTAGTCCGACTGCCATCAGTAACCTTGACCGCTGTCACCCATTCGTTGATGATATTTTNTAGCAAGACGCTCTTCAGATGCTGTACTCTTCAGGGGGTTGCAATTCAAATCTTAACAGTTTTCGGACACAGTTGTGTTTTTTCGTACCTCCGCACACCTCAACCGATGTCGGTGGAAAGGTGTAAGAAGGCCTAAGTTTGAAACCCCAAACTGTTTGATAATGACGTTCGACGTTGACTTTACAACCTTTTCAATAGAAAAGTGCACCAGGCGACGAAGATTGAATCGGATAGAGCATAACAAGAGCACTTGTTCGTCTCGAACTACCAACGGTTGGGCTAGCAATGCGTCTGTGTCACACCACACCAACGTTTTTATGCGTTTTCACACTTCTTTGTTTCACGAGGTATGCACTTTCATATACACTACCCACTGGATGCGTTCACATAAGCTGTCAACAAGTGGTTTACAAATAGGGGTGAACTGGACACCCTTATAGGGATTTAGGTCGCTGTAAGGTTTTGCTCCTCAGTTTATCTCTTCAGTGCTGTGCTAACGCTAGACAACTGTGGTTTTCTCTGGCCACACATTGTTCCACTGTAATGTGCCCGCAGCAGTCCGTCTGTAATTCTATCTTGATTTTTTCCACCTTCTGCTCGCTGCTCGTGGCCAACAGTTTACTTTGTGCCTAAACTGTGAGCGTAGGTTGGCAATAAAGGTGAATGTTGCAACATTGCTTTCTGAGATAAAACCTCACAAAAACGATTTTAAGACGGAGTTTAATTGCCACATTTCCCTAGCATTGTTAGGGAACATCGTATAGAGATTTCACCGAAGACAGCTCGTTGTTTTCAGCCCAAGTTCCCCCAATTTGCTAGAAAGCATTTTTGTGGCCACTTGCAATTGCTTTATTATTCGGGTTGCTCTTTCAATAGCTGGTTTCCGTCGCTAACAGTCAGATGTTTCTGTCTGTCTGTAGTTTGCAGTATGACAAAGGTTTATATATTGTATATAGTTAGCCCTCATTTGGGTCCCCCAGTATGAAAACTATCCGTCATGAGGCCTATTTCTCAATTCTCTGACTTTTTTGAAGTGTACAAAGAACTTTGAGGCAAACTGCTCATAAGGATGCAGATAACTCTTCGACAGCTCACCGCTGAAAACTCACCAACAGTAGCCTTACCCTTGTGAGGGGGTTGGTCACTGTGTCACCAGGTCTTAATTTGGAAGGTATGAGCCATCTACCTTCAGTCAGTTGCCAATAGTCTAGCAAAAGTATAACTTGCGCGAAGAGTTTCAAGTTAGAGGCTATCGTGCTTACGCAACAGCCCTACCATGCTCTACCTTATGGTTAAAGCTTGATCGCATAAGCTGTTGTTGGGGAGAAAACAGCTGTATCCTATTGTTCTTATTATGGCTTTGTAAAGCGTAATGAGTAAAGTAGGAGGTTGGTTCAACGTGAGTGAGGCATCTCTTTCGCCTTCTATTTTGCATCAGATGAATTCGATATCCTTAAACGATTGGAGAAAATGATGAACAAAAATCAAGTGTGGCGCTCTTATATTGGGCAGGGCTACTATGGAACCATCACACCCACACCCATAATACGCAACATTTTTGAAAATCCTGGATGGTGAGTTTGAATTTGAGGGGTGAGTAGATTAGAAATGTCCTTTTCCAGGAGGTTGTCGTTTTGACGTCGTACTTTAAAATTACTTTGAAATTACGTAATCTAATGCTATTCGTTCAACTGGCGTGTGATCATTTAGTCCAGCTTTACATCGCCTATATCACACGTTCTTGAGTTCTCTTGTATTGTCCTTTGGGCCTAGAAGCGTCGCTGTTTGAAAATCTAAACATGTCAATCAGCCTAAGCTACGATACACTAAGTTCCGCCCCCATTCGACCTCAGGGTAGTGCAGATCCTCTGTTCTATTGACTCTTGATATATGGACTGCCGTGTTACATAATCTGATCCAAAGCCATTACTAACATTTTATATACCATAGTTTGATGCCGAAAACCGTACAGTTGCCCGGTACAAATCCGATGCATTATCTAGACCGAGGAGGGGTGCTGAGGACATATTTCTTGTGACATGTTACAAATTACGGAAGAAGAGCTTAAATCCTCGCAGACACAGCTGAGGGCCAAAAACTGCGGCTACACTTGACCTCTTGAACCGAATTAGCTTCCATGAAATGATCGAACGAGTGATTAAGCAATAATGCGACAAGGTATAAACCTTATAATCTCTAAAAGAAGTCTTGGTGGAAGAAAAAAGGCCCTCGCTGCGGAGTTATCTATTGGAAAATGCCAACTGAACAGTTACAGACTATTGGACGGGGAAGCAAAACTCTCATATACATCTTGTTTACAAAAATCAATATCTATCTTCTCCTTGAAAGCGTTTTCCTAAACTTTCCTGAATACTCATTGACTGTTAGTCAATTGCAAGCAAATGCTATAGAGCGACTACACAAATTCCGTAATAGATTTAACTTTTTAAGAGATGCAAAGCGGATTTACGAGAAAACATACTACTCACATTTCCTCCATCAGTAGTATCACCGTTACATCAGTAGTTCTGATATCTCAGCAGGGCAGATAGAAGACTTCCGAAATGTTTAAATGTCCATAAACTGTGTTAACCGCAGATATACAACATTATATGGCGGACTCGTTTGGTGCCAAATTTCGAGGGACGATTTGTCCTCTGCCCCGTTCATACTTAAATATGGTTAATTTAGCTGTGTTATCATTCCTGGAACTAGTTGGTGCGTGGAAGCAATTTTTGTCTTCGACGGCAAACATGTTACTGATTAAATTAACTGACAACACATTTCATCCCGAGGGTGAACAGCCTTGAAAAGTGAGCAGTGCTGGTTTGTTCCTTAAAGCTTGCATTCAAATCGCCAGTCCTGGAGAGGAACCAGTTCTCAGCTCCAACCACTCCGCCTACATATGTCCAATGAATAATCGAATAGTTTTCAGTGGAATTACTTTTACGATTATGTTGCATTAACTTCGGTTTCAATTATCTGTAACAGGTACACCTCGTACACACCATACCAACCGGAAATATCGCAGGGACGTCTGGAAGCACTTCTAAACTTTCAAACGGTTGTTTCCGAGCTAACTGGATTACCTGTTGCTAACGCTTCGCTTCTTGATGAAGGAACAGCAGCCGCTGAAGCCATATCCATGGCATACCGGTGAGTGTTCAGACTTTTACCTCATTCTTCGTGGGTTATATGACTCGTTTGCACACCTTGCAGCCATGTCTGACATGTTCACGTTTACGTGCGACATACTTGTCAGCATTCAAGGGTCGCTAACACCACGATGCATATTCTCTGATGTATATGAGTTAGTTAGCCATTCAATATCCCGAGCTAGCAAGAGTTCTTTTAAGGGCTACTAGCTGTTGGAATCCACCTCCTAATTCTCCTATCTAGTCAGTGTGATAATATTTTTTCCAGAGTGACTCCTACATATTGAATGTCGGCTACTTATCAACGATTTAGTGATTGGTTAGAAAACCATTACCATAGATCCAGTTACTAGACACTCGCACTTATGGGAGGACCATTTTTATCCAGGGGCTAGTTCTCTAAGGAAAGTGAGAATAAAGGAATTATTGTATTTGATCCAGTTATCAAACCATCAATCAGAGGCAGATTGTCGTACGGGCCTGGAAGACGCAGCCACTGCTGTCATCACGATGGCTTTTATAGCCCCAGCTACGTCTGGCGAAGCAGTAGATTCACCAGCCTGACTGATAATCATCTGGCGCGATTTTACTCTAGCCAATTCACATAACCGTTTGCTGCGTAACTCGTACAGATCACTCAGCACTTAAGTGGGAGTTGTGCTCAACCTAACGAGTGAAATTGGAATTGGATGTTAGAATGGTGATGGTATGCGCTAACGTCCCAGATACTTTTTGTACTGGTTGTTGTTGTCGCTGATCTCAGGCGTATTTACCAACGGGAAGGGGATCCGGGAAATGAGTTGTCAGGGTGTGTATGGAAGGAGAAGAGGAAAGTGATCATGACGCAGATAAAGAAGTCTTCTTCGGTCAGCTTTTGCCATCATCCTCAAGGGCAGGATCAACAGACTGGGATTAGCGAATAATACACTCATCTGCAAACTAATTTGGTTCTTTCGAGGGACTCACCTGGAACCCAGCTGAATCTCTCGTTTATGATGTTCTCAGGCAACTGAATGTGCTGCACCAGGCCGCCTCATGTTTCAGTCGCTACGATATTTGAAATATCGCCTGAGAACATCATAAACGAGAGATTCAGCTGGGTTCCAGGTGAGTCT